CCTCCTCCTCCTCCTCCTCCTCCTCCTCCTTCTTCCTTCTTCCTTCTAGTCCTGATTATTTTCCCTAGTTGGGTCATGAAATATCTGCAAGAAAACCACCCAGCTCATAGAGCAGCAAGGACCCCAGAGTTGTCGTCTTCCTCCTCCTCCTCCTCCTGCTCCTCCTCCTCCTCCCCCCCCCCCACCTTTCTAGCCCTGATGATGTTTCCTAGTCGGGTCCCAAAACATCTGCAACGAAACCTACCAAGCTCAGAGAGCACCCAGGACCCCACAGTTCCACCCTGAGCTGGAGAGATTCTCTCTCCTATTGGAAGTGACACTTGGAGGGCCATTTTGGATCTGGTGAGATTTCCCGCAGAGGGATCCCTTGCCGCTGACATCCAGGTCTGCCGTTCAGACAGGGACCTGAACGAGGACAGACGAGAGTGCGTGTGAATTCGGAGGAAGAAGAAGAGAGAGGTTTTTCTTGAGCGCCAAGAGAATCCGAGGAAGTGAGCCTTAAGGGCTCTTTGTTGCCAAGATGCCAGCGGAGAGAAACACGCCCACTCCTTCCTCCCCTTCCCCCGCTTCCTTTGGCTCCGTGCCTCAGTTTCTTTTTTTGTGAAACCTGGGACTTTTCCCAATAATTCCTCCTCGGCCTGAATTCCTAATGAGTTGGCAGACGTGGGGATGGGGGGGGGGAATGATGAAATCTCCCTTCTGTTTTCTCCCTGCCTACCAGCCTTCGTGTACAAAGATTTCCCTGATATTCCATGGAAAGCAGGTCTCTGTGTGTGTGTGTGTGTGTGTGTGTGTGTCTTTGTTTTTTGGTTTTTTTTTCTAAAGTAAAATCTAACATTGCAAGACCAAAAGAGCACCCTCTTTTTTTCGCTTTTATAGTCCTGGTCTATGTTTCCTACACTCCCCTTCCCTTTTCTTGGCCATCCTAAACCTCTGCCCCTGCTTTATTTTAAAATTCAGCTCGACTTAACAACCGTTCAATTTAGTGACCGTTCAAAGTTACAGGGGCGCTGGGAAAAAAGCGTATTTTGGCTATTTTATTTTTTTTACACGATTGCAGCATCCCCGTGTTCATGTGATCAACATCCAGACTCTTGACCACAGGCTCATATTGATGACGGTCGTGGCGTCCTGGGGGGATCACGTGATCCCCCTTTTGTGACCTTCTGATAAGCAGAGTCAATGGGGAAACCGGATCCACTTAAGAACCTCATGATTCATTTAACAGTTGCGGCGATTTGCCCAACAACTGGAGCAAGAACTGTCGTAAAATGGGGCAAAACTCACATAATAATAATAATAATAATAATAATAATAATAATAATAATAATAATAATAATAATAATAATAACAACAACAACAACAACAACAACAATAACAATAATAAGTAATAACAATAATAACAATAATAATAAGGTTGGAAGGGACCTTGGAGGTCATCTAGTCCAACCCCCTGCTCAGGCAGGAAACCCTATACCATTTCAGACAAATGGCTGTCCAGTTTCTTCTTTAAAACTTCCAGTGCTGGAGCATTCACCGCTTCTGGAGGCAGGTGGTTCCACTGGTTAATTCTTCTAACTGTCAGGAAATTTCTCCTTAGTTCTAGGTTGCTTCTCTCCTTGATGAGTTTCCATCCGTTGCTTCTTGTCCTGCCTTCAGGCGCTTTGGAGAATAGCTTGACTCCCTCTTCTTTGGGGCAGCCCGAGAGATTGGAAGACTGCTATCATGCCACCCCTCGTCCTTCTGTTAATTAAACTAGATATACCCAATTCCTATAACTATTCTTCATATGTTTTAGCCTCCAGTCCCCTCATCATCTTTGTTTCTCTTCTCTGCCCTCTTTCTAGAGTCTCAACATCTTTTTCACATCGTGGTGACCAAAACTGGATGCGGTATTCCAAGTGTGGCCTTACTAAGGCCTTGTAAAGTGGTATTAACACTTCACGTGATCTTGATTCTATCCCTCTGTTAATGCAGCCCAGCACTGTGTTGGCCTTTTTGGCAGCTGCAGCACACAGCTGGCTCACATTTAAGTGATTGTCTACCACTTAACAGCTGCCTTGCTTAATAACATACATTTTGCAGTCAGTTGTCATAATTCAGGGACTGCTTGTATAGTTTTGCACATACAACCTTGCTAGAACGAAGTTGGAAGTTGGCCTTAACTATTTCTGTCAAACAGATGCTAAAAGTAGGGTGTGGTGGAAGAACCCTCATCAAATAACTTGAAGTAGCCATATTTATCTTCCTTGGGCTGTTTTGCAATTTCATACAAAATAACCAGCCAAGCAGGCTGACTGTAAGGGAGCCCATAGCCAAATGGATCCACACGTGATCTGCTGGATTGAAAGATCTCTTAAGGCAGATGCCAGGGATCCTGCTCACAATGCACAATTTGTGGCTGTTCTAAGCAACTCAATCACACTGGGGGGAGATCTGTGCATCGGAGAGCAAAACTCCTTTAAAAAAAACTGAGAGAGAATTCACATGAATTAAGATTTCACTTGTCTTAAGATCCTTGAGCTGTATGTCTCCCAGTCTGATTTGCAACTCATATGACCCCGGGACATTGCAACTGTCAAAAGTACATGCCAGTTGCCAAGCATCCGAATTCTGAACACGTGACCTTGGGGACGCTGCGACGGTCACAACTGCAAGGGCTTGACCCTAAGTCCCTTTTTTTTTTCAGTGACATCCTAACTTTAAACCAGGGGTAGGCAACCTTGACTCTTTTATGACTCGTGGACTTCAACTCCCAGAATTCCTTAGCCAGCATGGGGGAACTATGGCCCCTTCATGACTCGTGGACTTCAACTCCCAGAATTCCTGAGTCCACATGGGGAAACTATGGCCCCCCTCATGACTCGTGGACTTCAACTCCCAGAATTCCTCAGCCAGCATGGGGGAACTATGGCCCCTTCATGACTCGTGGACTTCAACTCCCAGAATTCCTCAGGCAGCATGGCTCAGCTTGGAAACCTCCCTCTCCCCTCAGGATGGCTGGCTCAGGAATTCTGGGAGTTGAAGTCCACAAGTCATAAAAGAGCCAAGGTTGCCTACCCCTGGTTTAAACAGTTGCTAAACGAATGTTTATAAGCCGAGAACTATTTGTATTGAGTAATGAATGCTCACAGTCTCTTCCTGTTTTTCTCCGTTAGCTAAACGTTGATCTGGAAAGGGAAGACGGAGAAGACGGCCTGGATGCTTTTGAAGACAGCAACTCCAGTCCTTCCGGCACCCTCCGCAATTACCCCTTGACCTGCAAAGTTGTTTATTCATACAAGGTAGGTAATGTTCAAAATCTTCGCAGAGGACAGATTTTCATATAAAGAGATCGTGGGGCATTTTTGCACGAAGGACTAGCAGGCTGTTCCCTTAAAAATCTTTCCACAAATCCTGAAGTCCCAAAGGTGCTTTTTGTCAGGAGGCAACTGGACTTTTCTTTGAAGACGTTTCGCTTCTCATCCCAGAAGCTTCTTCAGCTCTGACTGGATGGAGGGGAGTGGAAGGATTTATATTCCTTGCAATCATCTGGTCATTTGGCTCTTTTTAGAGCAGGGATAGGCAACCTTGGCTCTTTTATGACTCGTGGACTTCAACTCCCAGAATTCCTGAGCCAGCCATGCTGAGGGGAAAGGGAGAGGTTTCCAAGCTGAGCCAGGCTGGCTCAGGAATTCTGAGAGTTAAAGTCCACGAGTCATGAAGGGGGCCATAGTTTCCCCATGCTGGCTCAGGAATTCTGGGAGTTGAAGTCCACGCGTCATAAAAGAGCCAAGGTTGCCTACCCCTGGTTTAGAGGGTCATTGAGGCCACCTGGAAGTTTATCTGTGCCTAACAACCAGATAATAATAATGATAATAATAACGCAAAGTGTTAGTGCCATTTTATAATGCCTTGATAAGGCCACACTTGGAATACTGCATCCAGTTTTGGTCCCCACGATGTAAAAAAAAATAGATGTTGAGACTCTAGAAAGAGGGCAGAGAAGAACAACGAAGATGATTCTATTCTAAGTCTTAAAAGTTGCCAAGAACGGATATCCCTGGTGGCTGGGGAATTCTGTGAGTTGAAGTCCACGCGTCTTAAAGTTGCCTAGTTTGGAAAATAGTCCACGACAGGTAGTCCTGGACTTAAACTAGTAGTTTAGCAACCAAAGTTGCAATCTACCTGTGGAAAGGGAGTATGACACCCCCCCAGGCCTCTTTTTAAAAGAGGATTAGGGGACTAGAGGATCTCCAGGAGAAACTTCCTGACAGTTAGAACAATTAACCAGTGGAACCACCTGCCTCCAGAAGCGGTGAATGCTCCAGCACTGGAAGTCTTTTCAGAAGAGACTAGACAGCCATTTGTCTGAAATGGTCTAAGGTTTCCTTCCTGAGCAGGGGGTTGGACTAGATGACCTCCAAGGTCCCTTCCATTTTTATTATTATTATTATTAATAATAATAAAGGTTCCCTTCCAACTCTTGTCATTCTGTTGCCTCCTTCATCTTCTCTCTTCCCAAATTTCTAAGCTGGCTTCCCCAGTTCACAGCCTCCCTCCTCAGGTTCCTAGCTTGCCTTTTGCCCTTTAAGCTTCTCACCACTTCGCTTTCCAGGATCTCATCAATTTTACAAGTCATTAACTCACCAATTTTCTCACCCTTCCCCCCCCAACCAATTCACTCTTTCCTGTTGGTTTTGTAATTCGATCCTCACTCATCACCTCCTGTGACTCCAAATCATCATCTCAGTGGACTTTTTTCTTCCCTATCTTCCTCTCCGTGAAAACCCTCCTAGCTTTTTACCACAAGGTCCTGTTGCTTTTTTTGCAAGCCACAAACTTCTCTCCTTTTTTTTCCAGGATCTGAAAAAGTTGCCAGAACCATAACTTTTTTTTTGTCTTCCCACCTTCCCTGTAAGCCACTTTGCCCTTCCTCTTTTTCTTTTCTTTTCTTTTCTTTTTTCTTCTCTTTTCTTTTTTCTTCTCTTCTTTTTTGTTTTAGTAGTTGCATCCTCATTCATTCCCTGTACCTGCTGCAACCACCTTATTTCCTTTATATCAATAAATCAATCACCCAGAGTGATAGATGAGACAGAGAGAGAGATAAGAGAAATGATGGATTAGATAAATAGAGATGATAGATGAGAGAGAGAGAGAGAGAGACAGACAGACAGACAGGCAGACAGGCAGACAGAGTGGATGGATGGATGGATAGATGGGTGGATGGATGGATGGATGGATGGATGACTGGTAGATGAGAGAAATAACATGACAGATAGATATGAATTAGATAGAGAGATGATAAGATAGAGAAAGAGAAAGGTCAAAGCTAGACAGATAAGAGAGAGAGAGATAGGTAGATAGGGGGGATAGCTATACAGATGAAATAGACAGACAGACAGACAGACAGATAGATAGATGATGGATGGATGGATGGATGGATGGATAACCGATAGATAGATAGATAGATAGATAGATAGATAGATAGATAGATAACGATAGATAGATCGATAGATAGATAGATAGATAGATAGATAGATAGATAGATAGATAGATAGATAACGATAGATAACGATAGATAGATAGATTAGATAGATAGACAGACTAGATAGATAGATAGATAGATAGATAGATAGATAGATAGATAGATAGATAGATAGATAGATAGATAGATAGATTAGACAGACAGACAGACAGACAGACAGACAGACAGACAGACAGACAGACAGACAGACAGACAGACAGACAGACAGACAGACAGACAGACAGATAGATAGATAGATAGATAGATAGATAGATAGAGTGGATGGATGGATGGATGGATGGATGACTGATAGATGAGAGAAATAAGAGAGATGACAGATAGATATGAATCAAAGCTAGACAGATGAGAGAGAGAGAGAGATAGGTAGAGAGAGATGATAGCTATACAGATGAGATAGCTAGATGATATAGATAGATAGATAGATAGATAGATAGATAGACAGACAGACAGACAGACAGATCAGAAAGAAATAGGGCAGCTGGCTAAGGAATTCTGGGAGTTGAAGTCCACAAGTCTTAAAATCGCCACCTTTGGGCACCCTGTCCTTACCCCCATGGCCTCCCCCTCCCCAAAGCCCCTTCCTGCCCTTTCTTACACTGCCTCCTCTTCCTCTCCTTCCCCGCAGGCTTCCCAGCCGGATGAGTTAACCATCGAGGAGCACGAGGTCTTGGAAGTGATCGAGGACGGGGATATGGAAGACTGGGTAAAGGTATCGGTTGGCTTTTCCCTGTCTTTGCCTGGCATGCTGTAGCCGCCCTCTCCTTGTTGTTGTTGTTGTTTTTGTTGTTGTTGTTTTGTTTTGTTTTCCGCCGTCATCATCGCAACGCTCCTAACGCCCAGCGTGCTCCTCTTCCCCGCTTTCACAGGCCCGGAATAAGTCGGGCCACGTGGGCTACGTCCCGGAGAAATATTTGCAGTTCCCGACGTCCAACAGCCTCTTGAGCATGTTGCAGTCCCTGGCAGCCTTAGACAGCCGGTCTCACACCTCCAGCAACTCCACCGAAGCCGAGCTCGTCTCGGGAAGCCTTAACGGAGACTCCAGCGGTAAGGGCCGAGAGGGCTGAATCTTGTGTGTTTGTGTGTATGTGTGTTGGGAGACACCCCTGCTATCCTGCACATCCCAGACATAAAAAAACCACATTCTCAACCATTCATGAGGTGCCGTTTCACAACCCAGCTTCAGCTCCAGGGAGAAACATGGCAATGAAAGCCAGCAATGGGCGACTTGGGGCCAATCACCAGGAGACGGTGAGTTCTAGTCCCGCCTTAGGCATGAAAGCCAGCTAGGTGACTTTGGGCCAATCACCAGGTGATGGTGAGTTCTAGTCCTGCCTTAGGCATGAAAGCCAGCTGGGTGACTTTGGGCCAATCACCAGGTGACGGTGAGTTCTAGTCCTGCTTTAGGCATGAAAGCCAGCTGGGTGACTTGGGCCAATCACCAGGAGACGGTGAGTTCTAGTCCTGCCTTAGCCATGAAAGTCTGCTGGGTGATTTTGTGCCAATCCCCAGGAGAATGTGAATTCTAACCCTGCCTTAGCCATGAAAGCCTGCTTGAGTGCCTTTTTGCCAATCACTAGGAGACGGCGAGTTCTAGTCCCGCCTTAGGCATGAAATTGGGCTGGGACTTTGAGACGATCCTCAGGAGACGGCGAGTTCTAGTCCCCTGAAAGCTGGCTGGGTGACTCGCTAAGTCCAAGTTTATTTGTAGTGGGGAAACATCCATTTCTGTGCTCGCCCACCTTGACCGACTCATAATAAACAATAAAGGCTGGATAAAAATCGAACAAATAAAGAAAGATCGGCGGTCGGGAGGATTCCCAACGTGCTAATGCCGCCCGTCTCCGCTTCCTCCCTTCCAGTCTGTTTTGTAAAAGCACTTTACGATTACGAGGGCCAGACGGACGAGGAGCTCTCCTTTCCGGAAGGAGCCATAATTCGCATCCTGAACAAAGAAAACCAGGACGACGACGGCTTCTGGGAAGGCGAATTCAACGGCCACGTCGGGGTTTTCCCTTCTGTCCTGGTCGAAGAACTGACCGCGTCCGAAAACGGAGAGGTGGCCTGCCTCGCTGAAGTTCAGGTATTGGCGCTAACCAGGTAGAGGTAGTCCTCGCTTTACGACCACAAAGAGGACTCCGGATAAAACATCTGCGCCCCGTTCTTCTCCCACCCTCCCCATCCCCCCAATTCTGGTCTTTCCAAGTCTTTTTCTTTCAAATTGAGGCTCTGCCATCAAACCTTTCTTACAGGTAGTCCTCGGCTTTACGACCGCTCGCTTTGTGACTGTTCAAAGTTACAACCTACTATCCGGAAAAAGGAAGTTGTGATGATTTGGTTCTGAAGGTCCGATAAGCACCCCCTCTCCCCCCCAACAGTCACATGACTGAATTGTGGGCCGCTGAGCCATAATTTTGATCTTTTGCAGCAACGTTCGGTGTTACGACGGTTTTGGGCCCACTCACCCCCCACCTTCAAACCGGAGGTTCACTTGCCAAATGGTTAGCAACCCCCGGCACTCGCTTAACGACCGCTGTGCCCGTTTTACAACCGTCGCAACTTGCTTAAGGACCGACGCGAAAGAAGGCCGTCAAAAATCAGGTCACAGGACCGACCCTGTTTTATGATTGTTACAGAAACATAAAAAACTTACATGTATGACAAACAGCAGCGAGAATTATATTGGCACAGTATTGGAAAAACGAAAAAACACCAACGGAAGAAGACATAGTTGGGAAAATTTGGGACTGTGCGGAAATGGATAGGCTCACATTGAAAATGAAAGGCCAAGAATAATAATGATATAATAATAATAATAATAATAATAATAATAATAATAATAATAATAATAATAATAATAATAATAATAATAATAATTAATAATAATAATAATAATAATAATAATTAATAATAATAATAAGAAGAAGAAGAAGAGGAGGAGGAGGAGGAGGAGGAGGAGGAGGAGGAGGAGAAAAAGAAGTGGTAGTGGTAGTGGTAGTAGTAGTAGTAGGAATGGACTTTGGAGGTCATCAAGTCCAACCCCCTGCTCAGGCAGGAAACCCTATACCATTTCAGACAAATGGCTGTCCAGCCTCTTAAAAAACCTCCAGGATTGGAGCATTCTCCACTTCTGGTGGCAAGCAGTTCCACTGGTTAATTGTCCTCACTGTCAGGAAATTCCTCCTTAGTTCCAGGTTGCTTCTCTCCTTGATGAGTTTCCATCCATTGCATCTTGTCCTGCCTTCAGGCCCTTTGGAGAATAGCTTGACCTCCTCTTCTTTTGTGAAGTCCTACAGGTAGTCCTTGACTTACGACCACACGGGAGCCCAAAATTTCCGTTGCTAAGTGAGACCTCTGTGAAGTGAGTTTTGGCCCACCTTCCTTGCCACCCCGGTTAAGCGAATCCCTGCAGTTGTTCCATTAGTAACACGGTCGCTAAATGAACCCCGCTTTCCCCCCCACACTGACTTTGATCGCCGGAAGGTCGCAAAAGGAGGGGGAATCGCGTGACCCCCCCCCCGGGAGACCGCGACCACGTCATAAATACGAAGCGGTTGCCCAGCGTCTGGATTTTGATCACGTGACCCCGGGGAGGCTGCCAGGGTCATCAGTGTGAAAAGGGGGTGACGAGTGACTTTTTTCAGCCCCGTTGTAACTTTTGAACGGTCACTAAAGGAGCTGTTGTAAGTCGAGGACTGCCTCTGTGTGCCTTGGATCGAGAGTCGAATTCGGATGTTTGTTTCCTGACTTGCACCGATGGATTGATATGATATCCCCATCGAATCCCAGTCGGTTCCCAGGGATGACCACAGAGAGATGGACTTTTTTTTTCCCAGGAGGACCTGTGGCTCTTTCCGTGGCTGAGAAGGACATCCTCCGTTTACGGCCATCTTCTCTGCTTCCCCACAGGCCTTTCCGTCCGCCAAGTCCCAGAATTCCCTGGCGCCCTTGCCCCTCTACGACCAGCCCCCCGCCAGCCCTTTGCCCAGCCCCGACAAAAGAGGAGCGCAGGGCTTCCCGCGGTCGCCATCGGCAAACGGTAAGAAGGGCTCGGGCTCCCCCTGGGGTACCCTGCGGGCGAGAAGGCCACGATCAAGCCACCGGTGGCCTTTTCAGACACTGAAGAGCGCCTGGTCCGCAAGGGAGCTATCAACTCCCGGCCCAGATCTGTTGCGTGGTCCGGTCAGTTTCACTCAACATTGTGGTCTAGTGGTGCAGATGCTGGCCTGGCAATGGGGGAGGGGGGACAATCTAGGTTCAAGTCCCCCATCAATCACGGAGGTGGCCCAGAAAGGCTGAAGCTGGAGCCATTTTCTTTCTTTCTTTCTTTCTTTCTTTCTTTCTTTCTCTTTCTTTCTTTCTTTCTTTCTTTCTTTCTCTTTCTTTCTTTTTTTCTTTCTTTCTTTCTTTCTCTCACTTTCTCTCTCCTCTTTCTCTCTCTTCTCACTTTCTCTTTTTCTTTCTTTCTCTTCTCTTTCCTTCTCTTTTTCTTTCTTTCTCTCACTTTCTTTCTCGCTTTCTTTTTCTTTCTCTTTTTCTTTTTCTTTCTCTTTTTCTTTCTTTCTCTTTCTCTTTCACTTTTTCTTTCTCTTTCCTTCTCTTTTTCTTCTTTCACTCACTTTTTCTCTCTCTTTCTCTGCCTATCTTTCTTTCTTTCTCTTTCTCTTTCTCTTTTTCTTTCTCTCTCTCTCTTTCTTTCTCTCTATTTTCCTTTCCCTTTTCCCCTCTCTCTTTCTCTTTCTGTCTCTCACCTCAGGCCACCTCACAGGATTGTTGTGTTGTGCAAACACGAGACGAGAGCATTAGACATGCCGCCTCTGAGTTCTCGAAGGAAAAGCAACTATGAAATTCCTGTCTTAGACAAGGATGAGTTGGAGAGTTACGAAAACCTCAATGAGGAGAACATGAATTTCTGCATCTAAACAGAAAGGAAGTCCTCCATTTCTATAAGAACAGTAATCTTAAATATCCAGTGAAAAGCTTTCCAAGTCAGAGGTGGGGAACCAGGGCCTCACTCGTGGATTTCAACTCCCAGAATCCCTGAGTGCTCAGGAATTCTGGGAGTTGAAGTCCACAAGTCATAAAAGGGCCAAGTTTGAAGACCCCCTTGGACTTCAACTCCCAGAATTGCTCAGCCATCAGGGGGGAACTATATGGCCCCTTCATGACTTGTGGACTTCAACTCCCAGAATTCCTGAGCCAGCATGGGGGAACTATGGCCCCTTCATGACTTCTGGACTTCAACTCCCAGAATTCCTCAGCCAGCATGGGGGAACTATGGCCCCTTCATGACTCGTGGACTTCTACTCCCAGAATTCCTGAGCCAGCATGGGGGAAACTGTGGCCCCTTCATGACTTGTGGACTTCAACTCCCAGAATTCCTCAGCCATCAGGGGGGAACTATGGCCCCTTCATGACTTCTGGACTTCAACTCCCAGAATTCCTCAGCCAGCTTGGGGGAACTATGACCCTTCATGACTTGTGGACTTCAACTCCCAGAATTCCTGAGCCAGCATGGGGGAACTATGGCCCCTTCATGACTCGTGGACTTCTACTCCCAGAATTCCTCAGCCAGCTTGGGGGAACTATGACCCTTCATGACTTGTGGACTTCAACTCCCAGAATTCCTCAGCCAGCATGGGGGAACTATGGCCCCTTCATGACTTCTGGACTTCAACTCCCAGAATTCCTCAGCCAGCTTGGGGGAACTATGACCCTTCATGACTTGTGGACTTCAACTCCCAGAATTCCTCAGCCAGCATGGGGGAACTAAGGCCCCTTCATGACTTGTGAACTTCTCCTCCCAGAATTCCTCAGCCAGCGTGCCTGGCTGAGGAATTCTGGGAGTTGAAGTCCACAAGCCATAAAAGGGCCCTGGTTCCCCGACTCCTGCTCTAAGCGGTGCATCCTCAGATTCTCCATTTTGAAAACGACGGGACTTCAACTCCCAGAATTGCCCAGCCGGCATGCCTTGTAGTCCACACTTCTTACAGTCTGCAGAAAGTACGAAATTTTGTCCTTGAAGCATTCTCATTGTGGGTTTTTTTTTTATGTGTGTTATTCTTTTGTTGCAGTTTCAGAAAACAACTTCAAGTCAAGTTCCCCTGGATTTTCCCAGCCATCCCGACTCCTTCCTGAAAGCACTTCCTACGGCAAACTCAGACCTGTAAGTTTTAAGACTCTCCACACAGCGGTTGAAATAAATAAACGGGGGAATTATGCAGCTTTGGTGCACTTGCTCCAGGCACAAACCGAGTTAGAACAGGGTTTAATTTCACCTGCCCCAGGCCGGCTAAATTACCATTACAAATTGCAATTGCAATTTGTAAATTATAATTGCCTGCCAATTGCACGTTGCCTTTTGAAAGGTAGGACTCAAATATTAGTTCCCTTCAGCTTCTACAGAGAGTCCTCGAAGTTACAACGCCACCGGAAAAAGTGACTTACGACCATTTTTCACGCTTAACGACCGTCGCAGCATCCCCAGGGGTCAGGTGATTTACATTCTGATGTTTGACAACCGACTCACATTTATGACAATTGCAGCCTCCTGGGGTCACGTGATCCCCATTTTGTGACCTTCTCTCAAGCAAAGTCAAGGATTCACTTAACGACTGTGTGACTAATTTAACAACGGCGGCGATTCACTTAACCGGCGTGGCAAGAAAAGTCGTAAAATGGGGCAAAAAAAGAAATTTTTCACTTAGCAGCGTAAATTTTGGGCTCGGTTGTGGTCGTAAGTTGAGGACTACCTGTATGGTGGAAGCTGGAAACTTTTCAGAATGAAGTTAGAAAGAATTTGCAAAATACGACTTCTGGTTTGCCGCCGCGGACGTTTGGAAGGCGAGCTCCGTCTTCCGCGTCCGTTTTCTTGCTTGCCTGCCACCGTTGTAAAGCGAATCACTGCAGATGTTTAGGAACACAGTTGTTAAATGAATCTGGCTTCCCCGTCGCAACAGGAGAGCGTGTGACCCCCCCCCCGGGACATGGCAACCGTCATAAATTATGAGTCAGTTGTCTGAATTTTGATCACATGACTCTGGAATGAGACGGTTGCCAAGCCTCTGAATTTTGATCACGTGACCCCAGGGATGCTTGCAATGGTCGTAAGGGTGAAAAACGGTCCTAAGTCACTTTTTTTCAGGGCCGTCGTAACTTCGAACGGTCACTAAACAAATGGCTGTAAGTCAAGGACTTTGTGTACTCTGTTGTTCTGTGAAATCTCGCCTAGCTGACCTGTTTTTTTTGTGTTTTTTTTCCTCACTGTGGTCTGTTTGGGGGGTTCCAGGTCCGAGCCGCCCCGCCGCCCCCCACCCAACACCGCCGCCCCCCCGAGAAGATTGAAGACGTGGAAATCACCTTAGTGTGACCGGAACTGCCCAGGCCGGGACTCCAGCCGAAACCCGGGCGCGGCCCTCGCCCACCGGCCTTGCGACGGACAGTTTGTGTTTGAACGAGGCGACTGCTTAAAAGCTGGAGGGGGGAACACGGGAAGATCCTCCAGGAACACCGTTGTGTGGGTGGGTGCTGCTTCCCACCGTTGATGGACATTTTGTGCCTTTTTTATTTGTTGTCGTTGGGTTTCGCCTTCTCGATCCGCCTGTGTAGCACAACGCAAGCAGCCATGCCTTTTTCAGCTGGACAGCAGCGAGTTTTAATTTTTTTTCCAGGGGTGCGCCAAACATCCCCCACCCCGCTTTCACGTGGCCCGTCGACCCGTTGCGACTGTACGGCGGCTACAATCGTTGGGGAACCTGGCCTAATCCCATCCCGGTCTGATTTCAGCCTTCCCTTAGTCGGTGACTTCCAGATGTAGTAGAACTATGATTGCCATCATCCCTGTGAGTGCTCTGGGCCTTGCAAGCCGGCGTTGCAGCTCCAACATGTGGAAGGCACCATGTTTGGACGGGGTTGCAGCTTCAACATCTGGAAACTCATGTTTGGACAAAGGTCGCAGCTCCCAACATCTGGAGGCTGCCGGACAGCTGCAACACCTGGAAACTCATGTTCAGACAGATGTTGCGACTCCAACAACAAGGCTGCCGCGTTTGGACATGTTGCAGCTCCAACATCTGGAAACTCATGTTTGGACAGATGTCGCAGCTCCAACATCTGAAAACTCCTATTCTGACATATCGCAACTCCAACATCTGGAAACTCATGTTCTGACAGATGCCACAGTTCCAACATCTGAAGGCTGCCATGTTCAGACATGTGTCGCAGCTCCAACATCTGGAAACTCATTTTCAGACAGATGTCGCAGCTCCAACATCTAGAAACTCATATTCTGACATATCGCAGCTCCAACATCCGGAATCTAATGTTCTGACAGATGCCACAGTTCCAACATCTGGAGGCAGCCATGTTCGGACAGATGTCACAGCTCCAACCTCTGGAAGCTGCCATTTTCGGACGGGTTGCAGCTCCCAACCTCTGGAGGCTGCCGTGTTCGGACAGATGTCGCAGCTCCAACATCTGGAAACTCACGTTCAGACAGATGTCGCCGCTCCAACATCTGGAAACTCACGTTCAGACAGATGCCGCCGCTCCAACATCTGGAGGCTGTCACGTTCGGACAGATGTCGCAGCTCCAACATCTGGAAGCCATCCCATTTGGACCTGATCGTTTCCTTCCCCGGCCCGGCGAACGTTTCCCTGGCACTTAGTGGAGAAGTTTTGGCGTTAACGGTTTGCCGCAGCCAATCCAATCCCCCCCCGGGGCGCTTTTCTGCATAAGGAGTGTAATCTGTAGCCCTGCTCCGAATCAGGGCGTATATTATATAAATATACGCCACGCGCATCAGTGCAGGATTTTACTGTTGTCATAGGAATGTATTAAAACCTTTCTTCTCTCCCCCCCTCCCCCCACCAACCTCTTCAAGTAGCGTCCCCTGCTTGGGCGGGACTTCCGGGACGGGAAAAGCCGGGCACGAGGGTCAGCCGAAGGAGGGGCTGGCCCCCTCTTTCGGCTCTCCCCCCCTTTTCGCTGGTCCTCACGCTTTTGAGACGGGGGTGGCGAAAAAGGTTCTGCCAAAACACAGCAAGTCTCGAGGGAGGTAAAATACGGGGATTGCCCCTCTTTCAGAGTGGAGGTGGTGTCACCTGGGCTTTGAAGTTCCTTCTGGACCGATATTTATGCGGTGGGGGGGGGTGTCTGCGAACCGAGGGCTGAATTCACAGCGATGCGTTTTCTTCCCAGGAGAAAATTGAATAAGGATTTTCATGGCACAGCTGGAAGCGGCCGTTCCTTTCCTCTTGAAACTTCCCTCCCTTCCTTCCTCCCTCCCTCCTGTTATTTCCTTCCTTCCCTCCCTCTCTCTTTCTCTCTCTCCCCCTTTCTTTGCTTCCTCCTTTTTGTTATTTTCTTCCCTCCCTCCCTTCCCCTTATTATTTTCTTCCTTCCCTCCCTCCTATTTTCTTTCCTCTCTTTTTATTTCCTTCCCTCCCTTTCTCTCTCCCTCCCTGTCTTGTTATTTCCTCCCCTCCCTCTCCCTTTTTCTCTCTCCCCCTTTCTTTCTTCCCTTCCTCCTTTTTATTTTCTTCCCTCCCTCGCCCTTATTTCCTTCCTTCCCTCCTATTATTTTCTTCCTTCCCTCCTTTTATTTCCTTCCCTTCCTCCCTCCCTCCGTCTTGTTATTTCCCTCCCTCCCTCTCTTTCTTTCCCTCCCTCCTGTTATTTCCTTCCTTCCCTCCCTCCCCCTTTTTCTCTCTCCCCCTTTCTTTCTTCCCGTCTTCTTTATTTTCTTCCCTCCCTCCCCCTTATTATTTCCTTCCTTCCTTCCCTCCCATTATTTCCTTCCCTCTTTCTCCCTCCCTCCCTCCCATTATTTCCTTCCTCCCCTCCTATTCTCCCTCCCTCCCTTCTTTCCTCCCTTCCCCTTCCATCTCGTTCTCTCTCCTATTCCCCCTCCCTCCCTTCCATTGAATTGGTCTACTTTTTACAACACTCCCCTCTAGCTATCCTCCCTCCCTCCCTCCTTCCTCGCTTCAGCCACTTCTTCTCTTATTCCAGTTTATCCCCCGACCTTCGCAACAGGTCTCAGGCACAGTGGCTTCCACTGGGGCCCAAGAAGCTGAAGGTTCGGCCTACTTGACCGGTGGCCTCTAGGCTTGGGTGCCCCCTCTCTGTGACCCTGATGGGCCACCCTCCATCCCAGGAAATTAAACCCGGAGATGGTCACGATCTCGGTCTCTTTCTCTCGCTCTGTGTGGCCTACCCAGAGTTTTCACACCCCTGGGATGGAGACCTTGCTGGTTTCGCTGGGCTCCACCTCGTCTCTCTCCCAACAGATTTTTGCAGGATTTCCCCCCCCCCTCCAACCCCCCAGTGAAAATGGACAAATGTCCATTTGGACGTTTGGAAGTTGTTAACCCGTCAGCCAGTTGTTCACTCCATCTTTGCCGCTCTCAAAGCTCTCAAAACCTCACCTCGGTTCTCCTCTTGGGCTCACACCTCGCCAAGGGGTCTCTCCGCCCTTCTTCAGAGCTTTCCTGGGTCAACTCCATCTTTGAAGGGTCCTCTGCCCCCCACCCACCCTATTTCCAACCCCTGTCGTTGAGCACACCAACCTTGACTAAAGCTGGTTTGTTCCTTCCGCCTGAGTTTAAACCAGGCGAAGGTTGGGAAGAAATAAATGTATTTCGTACGAGCTTGTACAGATTCCCACCAAAAAAAGAGGATTTTACCCTTTCGGACGTCGGTGTCGGAGAAGACGCCCAAGGAAACAAAAACCCCACTGGGTCATCCCCCCCCCCCCCAAAAAAAACCCCCACATCCATCCAGAGTTCCTTGTTGTATCACCAAAATCCAGGCTGAGATACGTCCAATTCGGGGGGGGGGAGACCATGAGAAGACCCGGCTCTTTTGGGAACGCCAGGAGGCTGGGAAAAACAGGAAAAAAAAGGAGAAGAGGAGCAGGTTAGGTGGCGATAGGTAGGAGAGCTGTCGAAGTTCCGGGTTCGGGAGGTGCTCCCGAAGACGACCGACCGACTGAGGGCCCCGAGAGTCGGCACGGACTCCAGAGCCCATCCTCCATCCCACGCGCTTCCCTGCTACCGGGGTAGAATGTATAAACTCACCTGCACAATGTGTCCCGAGTTTTACCTGTAAGTTAAGGTATCACAAAAGCTCTTTTGGGGTCCCTCTCCCTTTCCCCAATTCCTTGGCTTTCGCTTCGTGGAAGAGCTTGATCTGAAACTTTGCACCGATAATCTTGGCTGGGTCTACATCCAGAAAAAAGTCTTCCTCTTTCTCTTCTTTTCTCTCTCTTCTCTTCTTTCTTCTCCTCTCCCTTCCCCTCTCTCCTCTTCTCTTCTGTTTCTCTTCTCTCTCTTCTTTCTCCTTCTCTCTTCCCCTCTTTCTTCCCCTTCTCTTCCCTTCTTTCTCTTCTCTTCTTTTCCCTTCCCTTCTTTCTCCTCTTCTCTTCTCCTCCCTTCCCTTCTTTCTCCTCTCTTCCCCTCTTTTCTTCCCCTCTTTCCTTCTCCTTCTCTTCTCTTTTCCCTTCCCTTCTTTCTTCTCTTCTCCCTTCCTTTCTCTTTCTCTTCTCTCCTTTCTCCTCTCTTCCCCTCTTTCTTCACCTTCTCTTCCCTTCTTTCTCTTCTCTTCTTTTCCCTTCTTTCTCTTCTCCCTTCCCTCCCTTTTTTCTCTTCTTTCTCCTCTCTTCCCCTCTTCTTTCTTCCCCTCCTTCTCCTCTCTTCCCTTCTCTCCTTTCTTCCCCTCCATCTCTTCTCCTCTCCCCTCCCCTTTTCTTTCTCTTCCCTTCCCTTCTTTTCTTTCTCTTCCTCTCTTCCCCTCCTCTTTCTCCTTTCTTCTCCTTTCTTTCTCTTCTCTCTTTCCTTTCTCTTCTCTCTTTCCTTTGGGGAGGGGCCCCCATTTTTGTCCATTTGGCCTACACAAAAGAGGAGATGGGAACACAACCCAAGTCCTCCGCCGCAGGGGCCAGTATCTGGCAGAATCCTGTAAAAGGTGGGTTTTTTGGGGGGGTGTCGGGTGGGTGGGTGGGAGAGGCGTGCATTTTTTGTGCCGTTGATCTGTCGAGATCTTTAAGTGTTTATTAGACTTCTTCAAAAGTTTTTTTAATCGGTTTTTCTAAGAGTGGGGAGGGGGGGGAAAAAAACGAAACTTTTACTGCGGACGTTTTTAAATGTTTCGTGCAAAAACAAAACAAAAACAGAAGCGCGTTGCCAGCCGTAATGCTCTTCCCGGCTTCCCAGCAGTTGGCCAAGTCGTTCGGCGTTAATATTTTTATTTTTATTTTTTTAATTATTTGGTTGGGGTTTTTTTCCGACGTTGCCATTAACTCAAGATTCTCCCCAATTCAGAAAAGCATTATTTAAATGAAAATCCCTTAGTTCCCGGTTTGTTTTTGT